CACTCTTTCTTGTGTTGCTGTAAATCCCATTGACTCATCGATTTCAGTCATCTTCAGTACAACCTTATTTATTCTTGAGTGGAACATCCACTAGCTCCATGGTTAATGATTTGTATTCTTGAGAAACCATGTGTGCTGGCAAAGGCCAATGCCTTGTGGATTTAAGATAATGATCTGCTTTTCATGAGTTTCGTATGTTGTTTTTGTAAAGTTACATCTTGTAGTTACTAGTTTTGGTTTGGTTTGATGCTATAAAGGTTGTTCCATGGGGGGATTTAGACTCGCTAGCAATGCTCCAGAGGCAGCTGGATGTAGACATACTCGTGACTGGTCATACCCATCAATTCACAGCTTACAAGCATGAGGGGGGTGTTGTTATAAACCCAGGCTCGGCCACTGGTGCCTTCAGCAACATTACCTATGATGCGAATCCAAGCTTTGTCCTCATGGACATCGATGGCCTACGTGTTGTGGTTTATGTTTATGAGCTTATTGATGGTGAGGTTAAAGTCGACAAGATTGATTTTAAGAAGACAACCGCCACAACTCATTCTGCTCATTGAACATGCAGCCAGCAGCAGAGCTTCTTCTTTTTTTCCTGGCATTGTATTTGGATTCCTAGAAATGAAATGTGAGTGATATGTGATCCACTATTTGTGCATATTTTAGTGGAGGCGGCCTTTGGTTCATTTATGAGTTATTGTCAATGAAGAACCAAGCATTGAACTAAAACATCAAGAGAATGGTTCTGAAATTTAGTGGTCTAAAGCAAATGACTAATGGTTGATTGATAAAAGCTTGGTATTTCAATTTGCAGGAGTGATTATGGTAGCTTCTCGGTCTTCAATTAGTTCAATTAAACACCACGAGTTTAACTCTAAGCATGCTCCCTTGTCATCCAGTTGATTTCCATGGCCTCATCTCCTCTCTTGTGCAATTAACAAATTCCATTACTTCGGTCCCCTTTGTTGTCAGGGGAACTTGAGGTTGCTGTTCATGGCTTTGCTCCTGGTAATTCTGGCTTCTTATCAAGGTATGACCCTAATGTAGGTGGCTATCTTTTGTCTTCATGTTATCCATGTAATGTGCTTGGCTCTTCAGTAGGTTCCAGGCATTAACGTCAGTAAATAATGACGTGTCTCAGCAGAGTGCAATATTTTGCTGCTTTACATTTTTGTTCCTACTTTTTAAAAAAAAAATTATTTTGGTCCCTGTATTTTATTTTTCTAACAAATAAGTTCTTAATTGAAATTATTCTTGGTTCTCATGTTTTACAATAAATACAATTTAGTCCATAGATGATCTTTTTAAACCAAGTCTCTACAAATCAAATCTTAAACTTGGTCAAAATCGTGATAGGATATTATAATAATTCTCCAGTGTGTGTGTGTGTATTTGTGATGATATTATAATAAAAATTAAAATCAAAGTAAAAACACTCCAATGACCTGATAATAATAATAAAAATTTATATTTTAATAAAAATGTTGGTTTTCTATACTATCATATAACTAATATTGAAGTGTTTTTACATAATTGGTTATTTAATGTTTTTCTTAAAATGTGGCAAGTTTTTCTTACTTGTACTCATTTTTTCATTTATATAATTTTTTTTTCACACGCATACCTAAATATTCTGTCATATTCAGAGATTCAATTTTGTTTGGAGTGAATTCATTTGTAGTCTAAAAGCATTATACTACTAATCCTCGTATTTAAAAGGAAATCAAGCATATAGTTGAGGAAATAACTTTTTGATCAAATAATGTTGGCAATTGTGCAATGTGATGAATATTTTTTGATAACTTTTATCATAACCCATTTTTCTATCCTTTGTTTCCCTTCAAAAATCCAAATAAAAAGCAAAAAACACAACAACAAAAAACTCAAATATATATATTTTTGACTCATTGGCACTATTTTCATGATTTTTAATGGTTGTTAAAAAAATTTAAAAATATGCTTTCGTGTTTAGCTATTAATGCATTTATTCTAAAACCTTTGATAGTTTTTTTCATTAAATTGACATTGATGTTGTTGTTTTTTTTAAATCAAAATACAAAAATATAAAATAAAATAAATAAAGATGTAAAGAAAAAAAATGAACGACCAAAGTCAAATCAAGTTGTTGGGGATCAAGCACTTGAAAAAAAAAATTGGTTTAGAAATACTAAAGGAATCTTATAAGAGAGGGAGGACACCATTTGATTAAAAAAACCGATAGTCTCCATCTTATTCTCTTCTTCTAAATATACATATAAAAATCCTAACTATTTTTCTTAGCAATTGAAGTTTAGTCGCCACTCTCACTCTAAAAAAAATATTACCTTTCATCTTTTATAGGCTAACCTTTTACCTTTTGATGGTTGTCCAACCTTCCCTCACACTTTAGCCCTCACAAACACAAGGAAAACTAAAACCTAGTGCTTTTTTGCTATTTTTTACACCATTTTTACCACAATTGACATATCATTTTTCATTAACATATGGTATCTCTCTTATAATTTTAATAAAAAAATAGACCCCTTGACTTCTTCCTCACACTTGAGACATCCACCATATCCACCCATTGTGCAACACATTTCTCTTACCATCACTACCTTAAACAGACCACCATACCAACAATAAGACCAAATAGACCTCCCTCTCTTAAAATGATAGTCCCTTATCATATAGCTCTAGCCACCTAACAATGCCAAAAACAGCTCCTCTAACTTGACAATGACAACAAGAAGCAAGACACCACCATAGAACCACCATACCAATAACAAATAAAAACATTTAAAACTATTGGAGGAAAAAAAATTAACAAAAAAAGAAAGCCAATAAAGAGAAAGATTAGAACTTCTTTAAGCTCGATCTCCTTTCTTGGGTAGAGGTGCACCTAATTACCTTTACTGGTGTGTAAAAAAGAAAAAGGCTTGCCCAATCCAATAGGTGACTGACACGACTAAAAGATTGATATTTTCTTCCAAGTGCAGGAGTGTTAAAGTAATAAATAACCCGGCAAGATCGGAGTCGAACCACAAGAAGGTTAATTATATAAATTATAGATGATAATAATAATACAACAACAACAACAACAACAACAACAATAAAAATAATAATAATAATAAAGATGATGAGAACTTTGAGATGAAATATTAATGTAAGGATTAAACAATGATAATAACAAATGTCAAGGTTAGAGGATCCACTAATAGTATGTTAAACAAGTATAGTATAAACTCTTATTATTCAATTGGAAACTATACACAAAGAAGGTTCAAATCAGATTATAAATTGTTAACATGATTATATTAGTTATCCTATTCGATTAATGCTAATACTTGTAAATCTCTTCAGGTATTCATGATTATAACTTATGTTAACAACAAATCAAGTTCCTTTCATAGCTCAAGTTATACCATACAGTATGGGCTATGAAAGTGCCAAGCATTTGATGTACCAAGTGTTATACAATATAAATCTAAATTAGTCATTTGACAAGCAAAGTATTAAAAAGTGAACAAGATAACACAAAACATGTTAGTATCAAATATTAAAGTTCATGTTAAGTTTATATTATACTTATTCTTACACCATTAGTGTAACATTTTCACCTTGACATAATAAACTTAACTAAACAATTAAAGAAAAATAAATAAATAAACAAGATAAGAACATAAATAAGATAAAAGTTAACTAAGTAAAGGAAAGGAATTGAAAGGTATAAACTTGATATTAATGAAAAAAGGACCATGGAGAACCTAAATGCATGGCAAATGCCTCCTTTTATAGGCTAAAATTGGAAACTATTGATTTGATGACTAATTGATGAGTGGGTGACCAACTCTTGACTTGGTGAGAATCCTTATCTTTTTATATGGATGGAAAGGGACCAAGATGCCTAAATGCATGGCAAATGTCTTTTTTTATAAGCCAAAATTGAGAACTATTGATTTGATAACTAATTGATGAGTGGGTGACCAACTCTTAACTTAGTGACAATCCTTATCTTCTCTTGTCTGCCCAGAACGTCATTGCTAACGTCAAAAGTGGAACCACTTGAAAACATGAAAGTTGTAGGAAATTGTCTTAGCATTCTTGTGTACGAACTTCAGGTTATTTGGACTTCTAGAACTCCAGATATGGGCCAAACACTGAACAATGCTCGGGCTGAAGGACATATTCGGACTTCTTTGTTATTGCTCCAATTTGAACTTGAAAATGGCATTTGTAGATTTTAGGCTCCATATGAAAGTTGTAGGCCTATGTCTTACCTTTCCATCCATATAAAGTAGATCTAAATCTGAGATTTACAACTCTAAATATGACCTAATTATCAAACAGTATTCTGGTTTGGACTGCACCGCATCTCTTTTCTAAGTTTAGCCATATTTTTGTCCTTTCAATTTCATTTCTTAAATTCATCAATCAATCCTTTTATTTATATGATAGGCCTGCATTTAAAATGAATATTTACCATAAATTAAAGGTATCTTATATTATTAGATATATTATTATAAAACATGCTTTAGTTAAGGAGTTATTGATACTTCAAGTGCAAAATAATGATATAAAACCTTAATAAAAATGCACTTTTAAATACTAATCAGTGACCCCTTCCAACAAGTGGTGGCACGTGGATTTATATACTGGTAGTGGTGGCACCGCATGGATCACACATGTCACCACTATTCCAAAACGTTTCGTGATTCAAAAAGCTCCTTTACCTAGTTTTAACTACTCAGTTTAGCTCCCCACATCCCAAATGGTCTATTTAAAACCTTAGTTTATTTTTTTTTAACAAAATTAACATGTTTTTGAATTTGTGTGGATTGTTGATTATTGATTTTTTTTTATATAAATGATTCCACATGTTTTTGAATTTGTGTGGATTGTTGATCATTGATGTTTTCTTTTTTATAAATGATTCCATTGTTTATTTTCATAAAAAATTCAACATGTTAGTAATTTTAGGACTTATGATGAAATGACTAAATTTAAATACTTGTTAAATGCATTGTGAATATTATGATGCAATGGTTATAAATTGAGTTCGTTTGATTTGAAGGTGGATATTTAGAATTGGTTTTAGGCCAAAGCCCTTTTTTTTTGTCATCCTTGTGGATCCAACATCCATTTTAGAATTCAATCTAAAATTGTTCATAATAAATGGGCTCACTAGAGATGTTACCTTGAATATTAAAAAATAATAAAATAATTCTTATATCTCCAACAAATAGAAAATTACAATTTAAAAATATTTATTGATATCAAAATCAGGAATATTATTTATGAGTAATATTGGCAGTATTATCTTCAATATTCTTTGACACCATAGTCAAAAGGAATATTAATACTCACCAGTTTCAAAATTGAGATTAACATTTTTAGTCTAATAGTCATTAACAATAATCATGAATATTCATGTGATACTTATTAATGCTAGAGTATGAAGTATTTTTATTTGAATATTCATTGATGTCAAAGTTAGGAATATTATAGATAGGCCATCAATAACATAACACAACAAACTTTTAATAATTTATAACAAAACCAACAATTTATCCTATCTCAGATAAGATACTTTATGGGTGATAGTATCTTCCCTTTAATGTAACTAGTCTCATGCCATATCATTTATATTGACTAGCTAGGGTTTTTAGTAACTATAATACTAGATAGTAACTTCTTAAGCAATACATTTCTCCTCTAAGAATAAGATGCCATAAAATATCTTTTTTCTCTCATCTTTTTAAGGTTATCGTGATGTCGGGTAGTGATAGAATGACAATTGCACTAGGGATTTTTCTTGAGAAAATTTATAAAAACATTGTATAATTCTTTATGGTTAAATGTTATACATTATTTTTTATCTGAATTAAAATATAAACCCTTCTTTTAAGAACCACGAGAACTATATCAAAACTTTTTGAAATAGTGGCAGCGCATGTGATCCACGCACCATCACTACTAGCGTGTGAATTCACATACCGCCACTTGTTGAAAATAGTAACCTTATAAATTGAATAGGCCAATTCTCTTCATATTAGTACTAGTTATGGGGTGCATTTCCAACTAAGAAAGGAGATTAGGCCCAAGAAAGTTTCAATCTCTCTCTTTAAGGCTTTTTTTTCTTCATCCATTATCTCTTCTCCAACAAGTCTAGATGTTGTCATTTGTTGCTAGTATTATGGTTTAGTGGTGGCATCTTGCTTGCTGTTGTTAGTG